GCTGCTGGGTGGGCCCGTGCAGACCTAGAGCCTTGCTTCCCCGACGTGGTGTGCAGATCAGTAGTGCCTGCACTCTCTGGAAGTTTGTTAGAAATGCAGTATTTTTTAAAATTTCAATTTAATTTCCCCCCACTTAATTTACATTCAATATTATTTTGTATTGGTTTCAGACAGCATAGTGATCACAATCATATACTTTACAAAGCGTTTCCCCCAGTACTTCCAGTACCCTCCTGGCACCATACATAGTTATCACACTATTATTGACTGTATTCTCTATGCTGTACCATACATCCCAGAGACTATTTTGTAACTACCAATTTGTACTCCTTAAACCCTTCACCTCTTTTACCCAGTCCCCCATTTTCCCTCCCTTCTGGCAACCACCAGTCCACTGTCTGTCAATGAGTCTGCGTCAGTTTTATTTATTTTGTTCTTTAGATTCCACATATAAGTGAAATCATATGATATTTATTTTTTCTGACATTTCACTGAGCATTCTAGGTCTGTCCATGCTGTTGCAGATAAAAATATTTCATTTTTTTTATGGCCAAGCAATTGTCCATTGTACATATGTAGCACAGCTTTTTAATCCACTCATATATTCATGGGCATTTGCACTGCTTCCATAGGTTGGCTATTATAAATAGGGGTGACATAGTTTTTAGACTTAGTGTTTTGGGTTTCTTTGGATAAATACCCCAACATGGAATCACTGGGTCATAAGGCAGTTCATTTTTAATTTTTTGAAGGCCCTCCACAGTTTCCCCCAGTGGCTGCACCAATCTGCATTACCAACAGTGCAAAGGGTTCCCTTTCCTCCACATCCTCAACATCTGTCAGTTGTGGATTTACTGCAGACAGCCATTCTGACAGGTGTGAGGTGATAGCCACTGTGGTTTTAATTTGCATTTGTCTAATGATTAGTGACACTGAGCACATTTTCATGTCTATTGGCCATCTGTTTGTCCTCTTTGGAGAAATGTCTGTTCAACTGTTCTTTTTAAAATTGGATTGTTTTTTGGTGTTGAGTTGTAGGAGTTCATTATAAATTTTAGATACTAACCCCTTATTAAATGTATAATTTGCAAATCTTCCTCCATTCAATAGGTTATCTTTTTTACTTGTTGATGGTTTCCTTTGCTATGCAAAAACTTTTTAGTGAGATGTAGTCCCATTTGTTTATTTTTTTATTTTGTCTCCCTTGACCAAGGAGATATCAGAAAATATATTGCTAAGAGAAGTGTCAGAGATTTTACTACTGACGTTTTCTTCTAGGAATTTTGTGGTTTCGCATCTTAAAGTCTTTAATCCATCTTGATTTTTGTGTATTAAGGTGGTCTAATTTAATTTATTATTATTTTTTTGTGGTATGTGCCCCTAGCGGCAACTGAACCCGGGTCTCTCTGGTCCGCAGGCTGACGCTCAACCGCTGAGCCAAACTGGCCAGGGCTGATTTAATTTTTTGTATGTATCTGTCCAATTTTCATTTATTTGAATAGACTGCCTTTACCCCACTGTATGATCTTGCCTCTTGTCAAATATTAACTGACTATAATGGTGTAGGTTTATTTCTGGGCTCTCTCTTCTGTTTCATTGATGTGTCTGTTTTTATGCCAGTACCATGCTGTCTTTTTTTTTTTATCCTCACCCGAGGATATTTTTCCATTTTTTGTACAGAGTGGGAGGGAGAGAGAGAGAGAAACATCAATGTGAAGGGACACATCGAGTGGCTGCCACCCGCACGACCAACCAGGGCCGGGGACAAACTGCAAACGAAGTACGTGCCCTTAGCGGGAACCGAACCCGGGTCTCTCCGGACCGCAGGCCGACGCTCTAACCGCTGAGCCAAACTGGCCAGGGCACCATGCTGTCTTGATTGCTATGGACCTGTAGGATAATTTGGTATCAGGTAGTGTGATACCTCCAACTTTGTTCTTCTTTCTCAAGAATGCTTACATTATTCAGAGTCTATGTTTCCATATATAATTTTGAATTATTTTTTCTAGTTCTATGAAATATGCTATTGATATTTTCATAGAAATTGGGAGAAACCAGTATTTCTAACTCCACCTGGATTTCCTGAAATACATTCAGCAGTATAACATAATCACCAGGTAATTCCTATGAATATTAAAGTTTGGGAAGCACTTATCTAGAGTATGGGGTCTTATTTTGAATACTCTAAAGCCCATAGAATTGTGTAAAAAGTTAGTGTGTGTGTGTGTGTGTGTGTATAATCACACATTCCTCTTTCCCTTCCCCTGCAGACAGTGGCCATCTTTTTTCCCTCGGGTTTTCCAAAAAGTTCATGACCCAAAACTGAGATGCTTTATATTTTGGGAACATAACCCTATAAAGTAGGAAAGCAGATTTCACTGAACAAAGAAAAAGCTTAAAATTGTCCTTTTCTATGCAAGCACACTCTTCAGTTTATGGTGAGAACCTGGCCACTCCTAGCTCTGTAGTTTTTCCACTGTGCTTTCGCTCATCTGTGTGATAACTACATGGTACACTCTCCTATTCTGTTTCTGTGTTTCAAAATATCACATATACACACATTAATACAAGCTACATGTTAACATAACATTCATATATTCCATTTTGCATTACATACACACACATTCTTAGTGCAAAATTGGCTACAAAATGCATTCCTGTGCAAACACCAGCTTGTGCCGCCTGGAACAACTGGTGATGTTTTCAGTACTAATGTGCTATTGCAGTTGTTAACAATTTTTCGGTTGATTCAGGAATCAACCAGGAATCTTTTTTATTAGTATAATGGCAGTCTATTATCTACAACGTGAAACCATGAATTAAAAGTTGATCGTATGAGCTTGATTATTTAGTTTACTTTTCCTTACATTATAATAAAAACAATAATCCTTTATTATTTCTTTAACAAAAATTTAGTTAACAATACTTTCATGTCGAGGATAAGGTTGCGGTTGCTTTCAGGCATTGTAAATTTGCCTTAGAGAAACTTCACCAAGAAAATATCTTGACATCTATGCTAAGGCAATCATTTATTACAAGTTGACCAAGTCCCTAGTTACGTGGTAGGTCCCCACGTCTCAAAATGGTTCTAAGAATCCACCTCAAATCACTGTTTTCCCACTGGCGTTTAAGAGACGCACAAACTGGAAGTTGGCTAATGCCGCCAGGAAAGCGAACTCATCATAGAGCCATATTTTCTCAGATGAAAGAAACATGTTTAGCCTCATTTTTTTTTTTTTTTTTCGCAATAAAAATGCAGAGCTACTAACTGCAATTGTAATAGGCAGAGTTAAGTTCCCTTAATAAGTATTTTTTCACTCATTAGTATGATGGAGAGTAACTAACTTGCTAATACTGAAAATTACATAGACATTTAATACATTTGGTCTTTGTAGGACAAAAGATTCTTTAGAAACTAACCAGTTAAAAAGGTAATGGACCATGATATTTTAAATCCTTTAACTTCCACAGTGTGATGGATGTCATTAAACTACTACTGAAAAACATCTCAATTTGTCCCACCAGATAAGGGAAAAATGTCGCTCACACTCCCCATTCTGTGATGTTCCTGGTAGGGTCACTTTTCACTATCCCTTTTTTTTCTACACACAAAGCACACTGGAAGGTAAGTGAATGGTGCTGCTGTAAGAATAAACTTGAATCCAGTCTAACAGGTCTGTTGGTTATACAACTTGATACTCTGTAACATTCTTTTCACGATGCCCCACACACGATCATGACACATCTGTGTGTCAGCACCATTTCTGAGGGCCCTTCATTAGTTCTCTGTCTTGAGTCAGAGCCAACATTCTTGTTTGCACTCAGTTTTAGATATTTATTTGATTTAATAATATAACCCGTAGAAAGGGGTTTTTAAAAATATTTATTATATTTGGTTCTAGAAATGATAGAAAATAAAAATTGATACAATCATGTCACAGACCCTTGGAAAGTATATTTATCTTTTCACACCAGAGAAGAGTTTTATGCAAAGCCAGAAATGGAAATAACCTAAGCCATCGGTGACAAAGGTTAATGCTGCTAAGAGGAGCCCTTGTAAATTTTTAAAGTTTTCTTCTCTGCTATCATTTATTTTTGGGCAAACACCAGTTCAATGCAGAGTTCTGAACATAAAAGGCACCTAGATTAAAAAATTAGACTTTAACTAACAAAAATAGGTGCACATGTTTACATCAAGTAAAAAGGCCCTATGAATGCAACTCTCCTGCAAGAAAATGATACTATCAATACAAAAGCCTTTGCAACTAAAACAAATCTATAAACAATTGCCTGAATCGGATACATAGCTACATAATGGCAATCAACTGTGTGTTCATGAATCCACAGATGTTTTGTCATTATTTAAGTAAGTATGAGTACTGTGTTCCTATTCATAGGTTGGGGGGTGCTCTAATTATTTACCCATCATCAAGATTTGTTTTGTTGCATTTTCTCTTAAAATGCATTATCATGTATTCCTTTCATGGACGTTAAAAATTCCTGTTGTCCTTCAAGAATTAGCAAGACCTGCCCTGGCTGATGTGGCTTAGTTGGCTGGTGTTATCGCATGCACCAAAAGGTCTCGGGTTCCATTCCTGGTCGGGGCACATACCCAGGTGGTAGGTTTGATCCCATCAGGGTGTGCACAGGAAGGCAGCTGATTAATGCTTCTCTCTCACGTGAATTTTTTTTTTTCTCTCTGTCCCTTCCCCTCTCTCTAAAATCAGTAAAACATATATATCATCTGGTGAGGATTAAGAAAGAAAAAAAGAATGTAGCAAAACCTAAAACTGCTACTTGAAGCTAAAGACCTTTTTAATTATTATAAAGCCAGTAAAACTGACATTTTTCTATGACTTAAGCACCTGAAATATATTGTGACCAATTTATATTCTCTGAGCTAGAATTAGGATCCTCAGGATTTGTATATGTGTATAAATACTGCAAATTAGGCTAATAAAAACTTAAAAAAATACAAACAATCTTTTACTACAAAGATCCAAAATCTACTATGGGTCTGTACTAAGAGAAAGATGAACAGGAGGCCAGCAAACATTGTCTGCATTTTCTACTGTGGGGACACAGGGCTCAGCGGAGCCAGGTGGTATTCAGCTGGGTCTGGTTCTTGATGCTGGTATCCATTTTTAGCACTTCTCGAATGGCCATGGTAGCATAGGTAGAAGGAGGAAGAGAAAAATCCATCTTCAGAGCTCTGTATTTGCCTTCTGCCAGGCAAGAAAGAAGAGAACAGTCAGAAAAACAAGGCAGCTGCAGACTACTGGGGCAAGTCATGTAATCTCTACACAAATAAAAGAATTGTGCTCCTTTCCCCAGGCTTCTTCTTCCCAGGGGGCCTCGGAGAATGAGCCGTGGAAGTAAGAGATCTGTGAGTGGCCAATCCACTTGACTACATTAATTCTACCCAGAACCGTCATAGAAAGGGCAGACAACAGAACAGCACAGGAGAGAAATACATGTACAAGAAAATAAAATAAAATTAGAGCACAGGGCGAAGAAAAACAAAGAAAGAATTTGACAATGACAATGTAAATTTAATGTTTTAGACTTTCTCCCTGGGTTTTGCTCACCTCTGCTAACTCTATGGGGGTGGAAAGGAAATATTCAATCAACTAAAATCAAAACCTTCTATAACTATCATTCATTTTCAGTGGGATTTACTGTCTTAATCACTGATCTCCAGCTATAATCATGTAACTGAGATGGCAAAACACAAAACAGAAATTACAGAGTGGGTGGGAAGTGGTGGTGATTATAAGTTTATTTTGTAATGTTTTTGTATGAGAAACATTTCAAAGTTGACATAGACCTGATGGCTAAGTAAACTTACCAGAAGCAAAAACTGGTGGTGGTTTCCCTTCTAGGTTGTCCACATCCGTGTTGAAGAGTGGAATTTTAGGATCATCATATGCAACAACTTCCCTTTAAAACATATAAATAAAAAAAGTATAAATGTGAACTTCCATAAAAGGTACCAAGTTGCTCATTTCCACAAGCAAGGAAAACATATAGGTCTATCTATTGTAGACAATAGTGGAACCATTTAATAAAACAGGGCCAGACTTTATATATAAATATTGCCTTTATATTGTTATATATCAAGGTGACAGATGATGTCAGCCTATGTAAAAGACAGAAAATGTTTCCCTAGGATGAAAATTCTTTTATAGGGAAAAAGTTCATTCTCTGCATATTTGTTCAATAATTTATTGTCAATAAAATATAAATTAAGCCACTTTCACTATGTTTGCATTCATTTATTTCTTGATGATTTGAAAAATACCAAAAGTAGCAGTAATAATATTAGTAATGACAACTAACACGTATATGCCAGTGAGCACTGAAAAATATATATGTGGTGCGAAAACTTAAAATCTCACATAGCGCCTGGCCAGTGTGGCTCATTGGTTAAGCGCCAACCCATGCACCAGGAGGTTGCCAGTTTGATTCCTAGTCAGGGCACATGTACAAATTGTGGGCCCAACCCCCAGTGTGGGGCATGTAGGAGGCGGCCAATTGATGTTCTCTCTCATCGATGTTTCTATCTATCTCTCCCTCTCCCTTCTTCTCTAAAATCAATAAAGAAAAAATATTTTTAAGAAATCTCACATAGCAATTCAGTTCTATTTCATTCTGGACTATTACTTACCAGCTGACATTCTGAGGACGAATAATGATCTTTCTGTAGGCCCCTGACAAGGAATAATCTCGAATTTTGTGTCTCATGTTGTCAATATCAAGATTGTCTGCTGTGAGCATTTCCCTGTAGGCGTCACTAACTAACATAAAATACAAAAAGTTAGTTGGAATGTACCATGTCAGCAAGCTACCTTGAACTAGACTACAAATAGAGAAACATGTAAATTCGGTTGGATTGCCCTATCACAATGTTACGATAATTTACAATCCAGACTATTCTGTGGAATCAGGCATCTCCAGCTTAGGTTTAGCCAATTTATAAGTTATCTTTGCAAGCAGCCACAGTATCTGGGGTGTAAGGTTCCCAAGCTAGTTATAAAAGGCCATTTCATCAGAAGTTACTAACTTACAATTTATACATGCTCAGAGATGAAAGACCATATAAAAAAGCCTCAAACTCTTCTGGCAGAAGGTAGTTATAAAAAATGTATAAAAATAAGAGAACTTGGAAAACCACCTGGCTCACCCAGGCACCTGATGTAGAATCTTTCTCCTAATACCCGAGAGACATACAGTAGTCCTCCAGCCTGTGCTTACACATTGCCTTTTACAGGGAACTACTTCTTTGTTAGGTATGCAATTATTAGAAAGTCTTCCTGTTCCAAGCTGGAATCTGTCTTCTTGTAACTTCTTCTGACTGCTTTGAAATGAAACAAGCAGATTAACTGCCCACTTCCACACGTATTTGGGAGTATTGGACCTTTAAGCCATATCTTCTCCAGACAAAACATTGGTTCCCTTAACTGTCCCTCTTTTAACATTTCTGCATTCCCTGCCAAATCCTCTTATCTGTTTTGGAGTTATGGGCATAAGTTCAACAGGAACTCCAGATACTTTTTAAAAATTGAACTTATTGGGGTGACAGTGGTTCACAAAATCATATAGGTTTCAAGTGTACAACTCAATAAAACACCATCTGCCCACTGCACTGTGTGCTCATCACCCCAAGCAGTCTCCTTCCATCACCACTGACGCCCCCTCTGCTCACCTCTCCACACCCCCACCCTTTTACCCACTGGTTATCACCACACTGTTGTCTGTGTCTGTGTGTTAAACATATGTTGCTGGTTTTTTTTGCTTAATTCCTTCACCTTTTTTCATCCAGTTCCCCAACTCCAGATACTTTTTATGTAGACAACTATCAAACTGAGACTTTTCTTTTTTCCTTTCTTTCTTTTTTTTTAAATTCTCGCCCGAGGACATTTTTCCATTTTTTTTTGTTCAGAGAGAGTGGGAGGGAGAGAGAGGAAGAGAGAGAGAGAGAAACATCGACGTGAAAGGGACACATCGAGGGGCTGCCACCCTCACAACCAACCTAGGCCAGGGACAAACTGCAACCGAGGCACGTGCCCTTAGCAGGAACCGAACCCGGGTCCCTCCAGAACGCAGGTTGACACTCTAACCACTGAGCCAAACCGGCCAGGGCGAGACTTTTCTATCTATGCATTTGATCTTTGAGCACAAACCTGAGAACTCACAATTAATCCTATTAAATAACTCTGCAGTTCTTTTTAAATACTTATTTTTCATATAATTAATATAAACTATTTTGGGTTACACTATTTGCAAATATGATAAGCAGAATTCCTTATTCAAGTTAATTCATAAAAAGTGTTAGGATCAAGGAAAGACTCCCTCAGGATACTCTTAGTCAGGACAACCTCTAAATCAAGCATTGCTGGGCACCAACTGCAGTTAGGCATCAGCAGTGCAAGGAAGGCAGGCAAGGTAGAAATTCACCAGGGGGAAAGCCCTGGGTGCCTAGCAACAGACAACTGTAGGGTGGGATCTCGCCCTCAGGGTGACTGTTCCTCCCCTAGCATCTGCTGTTTAGATCCCCTGAGCTCTCCTCTCACTAGTCATGTGGTAGATCCCCTTAGGAGGAACAAGGAGGCTGGAGAAGAGCCTCATAGGACTCCCATACAAGCCCTTGCATGACCTCTCCCTTAAGACTTAAGTCCTAAAGATAGTGAGGTTCTGGCCCACATCAAATAATCTTATGAGCCCAGTCTGTGTGGCTCAGTGGACTGAGCGTCATCCCATGCACCAAGTGGTCGCTGGTTCCATTCCCGGGCAAGGCACATGCCCAGGTTGCAGGCCTGATCCCCAGCGGGTGGTGTACAGGAGGCAGCTGATTGATGTTTCTCTCCCACCCTCTCCCTTCCCCTCTCTCTAAAATCAATAAAAGCATATTTTAAATAAATAATCTTATGAACAAAACCTAGAGTCTGCTGACCACAGAGACAAGTTTTGGTCAAACTCGAGATAACATCTAGGCCTCAGTTGTGTTTCAGCTCCAGGCCCAGAAAAGCAGCAAGACCATGACTGACATCAGACCAGTTGTGATGACTAATGACCCCCTGCCCTGGTGCAGCCAATCGGGAGATACCTCAACCCTGAAAGGACACACCTGGAAAGCTGATGAATATTCTATTTAGATCCTCCTCTTGGACTTCCCCTATGATCCCCACCTTTAGAGAGCAGATTAATATCTTTAGGATACAGAATCCAGCCTGAGCCTTTCCCCACCCCCATCTTCCCCAGGGCAGCTTCCTCTCCCTGGAGCACACCAGTGCCTCCCTCCTCAACCCCATTTGCTTCCTCTGCCTTTCTTTTTCCTAAGTTCCGAGGGCCCTTCTTTTGCCTCTGTAACTTGTTTCTTGAGCCCATGCAGCACAGTGGCTCACTTCTTTTACCTCTGTGACTTTCTAAATAAACTTTTGTTTGTATCTGAGTCTTGAATGTGAATTCTTTCTTAGCCAGAACTAAAGTACCAAGGTTGCTGAATGGAGGCCCAGTCACCAGTAACATTCTGGTGCCATTTCACCACTAACACAGTGTACATGTTATGAATACACAGGTCTAGACTACCACCCTTCCAGTCTGTGAGCCCATGTCTTGGCCACAAGGTTCTCATGAATGGCTCTGTTAGAGGATGTGTTGAATTTATGTTTTAGGTGGTACTTGTCCAAGTTTCTGATCCTGAGAGGTACAAAAAAGAGAAAAGAATGTTTTTTCTTTCTTGGAAAGAGGGTAAGTGTGGCTCTGAGCAACTTACTGCCTTCCTTTGTGCTAGTTCCTGGCAGTGGTCTCAGTTCCTCACTGTGCCACCAACTCCAGACGGGCAGACCACTCCCCTCTCACACCTCTCAGGCATTCTCCCCCTTCTCGCCTCCTTTCCCTCGGGGAGTCGATCTCACATAAGCATTGGCAGCACAGCAACTCCACTAAGTTATCAACGTGTAAGTGGCAGATTACCATTTACCTGTTTTACAAGTGTCTGTATTATCAAAGAAGGGTATTAGTCCTAAACATTTCATCATTAGTGAAATTTCAAGGAACATTAAACACTGATAACTAAAATAATTCTGGCCTCTTGAGAAAAGTTGTTTTATAGGAAAACACCCCCCACAGCTCAGGCTTGGCTAGGAGTAAACTTCCAGGGTCAGTTCAGCCAAGCTGGTCCCATGCTCAGAGCTGAATTTCTTTTTAAAAATTTCTGAATCCTTAAACAATAAAAGTTCCAATCTCTACCCACTCCACATCCCACCAATGGCATCCATGAAGGTAACAAAGTGATTCTTAGCAGGCTCTGGGGAATGGGAAATAATTCTAACTTTTCACTTTATAAACTTCTGTTCCTGTTGACTTTAAAAACACAATGAGCAGATAGTACTTAGATGGTTAAAACAAAAAGGTTAAAAATGTAAATTTCAAGTAGAATTATACATTCACTTCTCAAGGACTCTTTCCAAATCCTTTCCATCCTTAGTAAGAACTAGTGAATTTCAGAAATTTAAATAATAATGCCAGTAACAATACTAATAACAACAATACCAATACCACCACCACCACCACCACCACCACCACCACCACCATCACCTTGTTTCTTAATTTAAATCATCCACTTGAATGTATGCCTTCTGGGAGACTTCTACAAGTAAATATAGTTTATATATGTTTAAAATCTAGACATTTTTCAAATGTGATGGATAACAAAGTTCTAAAATTATATTTAAAATATTGATATTTTTTTTCTCTTTCTCTACTCTTGGCCGAGATGACTTTGTTTCAACTATTTCCCTATACAGGAAACTTACTTTTATGCTTTGGGTAGATAACATCAAAACCAGGCAAGGGCATTACCACATCATGGATGGAGTAATTATTAATATCTTCTTCCTCAATATAGGTGGCTGTGGCTACAAATTCACAAATGAATAAATTAAGAAAAATTAAGAAAATAGGCAATATGTTCATTAGATCAATCTTCTAAAATTATACACACCCAAGCAGTCAGAAGCACAAGGTGGTGCAGTTCTGTGGCCTACAAAGCTTAAATAAATTAAGTTGGAATATATATCTTTTTCTTTTCTATTCTACCCAATAAATAAAAATCACAGACTTAGAATAAATACAAAGTGAAAACTTTTATTTCTCAGCTGCACTTTTATATTTTGGGAATGCTTGATTCTAACAATCAGCTCCTTTTCCTTATTAAATGACACTACAAAATACTATTTGGAAAGCTATCACAAATTAATACATTTTTCTAAAAGAACAAAAAATTTAAAAAATCAGCCTGTAGTTAGAGGATAAAATACAGTGGCTTAAAGGACATTAAAATACACGGATATGATCAATATCGGAGAGGAAAATGTATTTAAAAAAAATTTTTTTTTTTTTTTTTATCCTCACTCCAGGATATTTTTCCATTTTTTGTACAGATAGAGTGGGAGGGAGAGAGAGGAAGGGAGAGAGAGTGAGAAACATCGACATGAAAGGACACATCGAGTGGCTGCCACCCGCACGACCAACCAGGGCCGGGGACAAACTGCAACTGAAGTACGTGCCCTTAGCGGGAACCGAACCCAGGTCTCTCCGGACCGCAGTCCGATGCTCTAACCGCTGAGCCAAACTGGCCAGGGCTTTTAAAAAATTTTTAAAGAAGATTCACATTTTATTTATGTTGAAGCAAACTATACAAAACTGACTTTCTTCACCAAAAATAACAGCAATGTTTTCTGTATTATTCCTAGATATCCACAAAACACTTTTGTAGGTTTTCTACGTTTTGCACACAAATCAAGACAAGGCAGTAGATAGTCATAGAAAAAGATAGAATAAAACACACATATCAGTTGTCAGTATCCATGGTCTCTGATCCTGCCTGACAATGAAAGAGAAGTGTTTGACATATACCTGCTAAAAAGCTTATGAAGATATAGGCTCAATAAAGGACTGCAAACAGCAATAACCAGATATGAGACAACAATGGCAGGTTCTTTTATTCAATCTGAGACAGGATGGTAAGGCAGGACAAATGGACGAGGGAAACTGAGACAGATAGCTACACAAACTGACAAAGCAATTTATAGCAGACACAGAAGGTCACCTCCCTAAAATAACATCTAGGCCTTAGTTGTATTTCAGGTCCAGACCCAGAAAAGCAACAAAAACAGGTGGGTGATATAATGACCCCCTGCCCTGACGATGACCAATCAGTGAGGACCATGACCCTGAAGGAGCACACCTAGAAAACTGATGAATATTCTGTTGAAATCCTCCAGAGACCTCTCCTAAGATTCCCACCTTCAAGACAGAAATACAAGCCTCAAGACAAAGAACCCAGTTTGTGCTCTCTTTCCCAGGAGTGTGCCTGTGCCTTCCCCCCACCCTTATTCCCCCACAAGCATGCATCTCTTAAACTCTAAGGGACCCCAGAAGGCTTGCAAACAGGGCAGCAATGGGCAGCAGGAGTTCATCCCAGACAAACCCCTAAACTTGTCCCCAAGGCCCTCTTTTCTCTTGACTTCTTAGTGAGCCAAAGCAGACCAGCCTGGCCCATTTCCCCAATCCTTTCTTTTTTCATTGTCCCCAGCTTTAATAAACATCCTCTAAAATTCACCTGAACTTGTGTTGTAAAACTTCCTGCATGAAGTCAAGAGCCCACATACTGCCAGCTGACCCCAGGCAGACCCACCAAGGGCAAGTTCCCTTTCTGGTAACATTCTCTGGCAACCCAGATGGGACCCCGAATGAAAATCCTGAAGCGTGCCTGTGTTCTCCCCTGCCCCTCTTCTCCCTTACCCCCCAGGCACATTATCCTTGCCCCATGGTACTGTGACTCAGATTACTTCATTACTGGTAAGCCCGTCATCCTAGCCACCTTGGCTTGAAGGACCTGACTGTTTTTTTTGTGTGTGTGTTTTTCCCCCCTCCTTGCATCCTTTCCTCTGGCCAAGGGGTTTTCCTCTCCCTCTGCAGATTGCTGTACTCTGTGGGCATGGAAGAAGCACTTACGAAACATTAGGGCACTTGCTGCTTTTCAAGACTCCTGTGACCAGGATAAATCGGTCATAGACCAGGGAAGTTTGTACAAGACACCTTGCCAACTGCAAAACAACATCCATGCACCCAGGAGCAGTTAAAGTTACACAAGCCCCTTACATGTGGCTCTTCTCTGTCAGGTTACTAGTTCTTCTTGCTGGAAGGACATTCTTTTCTTCCCCTTTTGAATTCCCTTATGTCTAGAGTTGAATTCAGGCTGACTTTCTTTGATGTGTTTTTTTTTTTTAATCCTCACCCGAGGATATTTTTCCATTTTTTGTACAGACAGAGTGGGAGAGAGAGAGAGGAAGGGAGAGAGAGAGAGAAACATCGATGTGAAGGGACACATCGAGTGGCTGCCACCCGCACGACCAACCAGGGCCGGGGACAAACTGCAACCGAAGTACGTGCCCTTAGCGGACCGAACCCGGGTCTCTCTGGACCGCAGGCCGACGCTCTAACCGCTGAGCCAAACTGGCCAGGGCTCTTTGATGTGTTTTTTTTAAAAAATCCTTCAGGTACAGCTGAAGGTTAAGGTGGTGAAAAAGCCAGGCTAAGGCAGGACAGGAGGAGAAACATGGATGGCTGGTTCTTAACTTGGCTTTTCAATTGAGGTTACTTTCTGGGGGTCTGAAAAAAAGTCTTTTGCTGAATGAATGTGAGTCTAGGCTTGTTTGGCCTCAAGGATGAGGGGCTGCTTACTCCCTCTGGCTCAAATCTCGGGCATTCTTCAGTGATTGAGAATCTTTGTGGAGGGTGGAGGGAAGGCCAAAACACATGGGAGCACTTCAGACAACTTGGAACTCAGCATACAGTCAGTGACACAGTATAACTGAAGGTTTATTCGAACTTTGCAGATCTCAAAATAAAACTAAAATCAACATGGGAAATTATGCCCCCAAGGCCAGAAGCCCCTAGCCCCTATTAACACTCCTAACTTACAGAAATAAAAAGATTTAACTAGAAGTAATATCACTTAAGATGGCTAAAATATAACTTGTGATCCCTAAATCAATTTTTATATGCAAATTAGAAAAAGTGCTTTAAAATTAAAACTGACTGAGTAGGAAACTTATCTTAATTGCAAATTAGAAGTTCTAGGAGGAGCGCAGGTCAATTACCTAAAAAACTAGAAAGGCTGGTTTCAGGCAAAGAGAAATAGCAACTGTATACAGTTCTTCTCTGAGATACTAAAGGGTTGCAAAGGAATATTGTTTACTGTTAAAGACTATTGTGCTGGCTATTCTGACCTACTCCAATTAATATACCTATTGGTTTCTGGGAGCAAGGCAACAGGATTGCTAAATGAGGTCTGCTACAAAACTATAGAGGAGTGTGTTTCTATTATAGAAAGCAGGTCACCTTTAAAAAATTTGTAAAAAAAACAAAATTGGACTTAGAAGGAAAAAATAAGTCAAAAGCAAGCATAGGATTACTCCCAGTGTTTTTCACCTCCTCACTAACAGTCTGGGAGAAGTTGGAATTATCATAAAAAGATAAGCCACTAAGGCCCCTATAGATAATGGGGCTACTTTATTTGTTCTTAACCACACCCAACTAAATTGTCTCCTCTCTGGGAGTAAAGCTTCTGTACAAATGGTAAGTCAGAACCTGTCCTCAAGGCTCCCTTCTCTCTGACATTTTAGTGAGCCAAAGCAAACCAGCCTATGCTCATTTTCCCAGCCCTTTCTTCTTTCACTATCCCCAGCTTTAATAAATGTTCTCTAAAACTTACCTGGACTTGTGTTGTGAACTTTTCCTGTATGAAGTCAGGAACCCATACACTAGCAGCTGGCCCTAGGCAGACCCTCCAAGTAACAAATCTTTAACTGTAATTTGTTCCTTCAAGACCATTGAATAAAGACAAAAATCTACACTGAAATCCTTGTTTGGCAAGCTCATATTTCTTTCACTGTCTGGTAATTCCCTTAACTTTCCATTACAGATTTTTAATAGCACACTTAAATTTCCTGCTATTCAAATGTTAATTGTGAATTTCATTGTAAGATTTTATAAAATGTATTCCTTCCTCTCACACCTCCTCAATACCTGACAACTGGATCCACAACAATAATAAATGTGTCTAAACATTTGACTTAACTAGTCCTAGTCGGGTGGTCTAGTTGGTTCGAGCGTCATCCCGTACCCCGTTGTGGGCTCAATTCCCGGTCAGGGCACACACCTAGGTTGACAGTTTGATTCCCAGATGGAGTGTGTACAGGAGGCAACCGATTGATGCTTCTCTCTCATAGTGATATTTCTCTTTCTCTCTAAAATCAATAAAAACATATCCTCGGGTGAGGATAAAATAAAATAAAGTGAAATGAAAGAAATAAGATGACTTAACTAAAACAATTTCAACGTGCCATTAGCAGCGATCACACAGGAGTGTAACATGGCACTTTCAATGCTACCTTCTGGAATAACAGTTCTCCAAAGCATGCAAGTTCAAACAGGGGCCATTTAAACAGGCAGATTATCAATGGCTAATATACTCAAAAAATTCAATGACTGACTGGCCTACATACACCTTATAGCTTTTCTGTAAGATGTTTTCAAATTTCTTACAAAAATTTTCAATATCAAATATCAGAGAAAGCCTATTTTAAAAGTCTTTCAGGTATTTTCAAATTATCTGTAGGACACTCTGACTTAGTTGTATAGAGTTTGATATATGTGCTCACCATTACATCCAAATCATGTTTTATATCAAAATTTATGTTAAGCAAAGCTAAGTTAACTTGACATTTGGTTTGTCAAAGTGTTCCTCAGGTATGCTCTGAGACAATTTTGCCCATTTTTCAAGGTGTTCATTTTCAACCTTCATCACAGGAGGAATACATTACAACTTTAGCAATGCAACATTAGGAAAAAACTTGATGTCTGGCAGGTGGAGGCCTTCAAAATGGTGGATGGAAGCTCTATATATTTCCCTCTGTATTTCCACTCAATTCTCTAACAATGCAGCTCAGCTGAGAACGTGTCAGGATTGGGTAGGTTGCTTCTGTGCATGGCAGCATGGTGCTCCTCCGATGTACTGAATTTGAGCTGTCCTCTGACAGAGGGTATCAGAGATCAGCACTGAAGAGCTCTGAGGTGTTGTTCTGAGAACATATCTTTCAGTTCCTGAATGATGTATTCTGCTGTTGGAACACTTAGAACTCCTTTGTAGAGACTCTCAGAGGTCAGCTGAGATTCAAGGTTCCCTTGCTGAGCTCTGCGGAATTTCCTAGGGAGCTTCATCTGAATATCAAGTTTGGTTGCCAAATCGGTGGTTTCCTCAAACCAAATTCACGGTAAACTTCAATATTTTCCATCATTTCATTTAGTGAATGCAGCACTGAAGTTAAGCTACTGGCTGTAAAGAAGACATCAGAAGTTTGCCCCTGGAGAATTTCCTAAAGCCTCTTATAAAAGGTAGAACATTTTTAAGAATGACAATGGTAACAGTAAAATCAAAATCAGTTACTGCACTACAGAGTACAAATGCTTGGCCTGCTATACAGTTATTCTATCTGATATTCGTGTCACTATTTCTACCATCTAAAACAAGCGCATATAGGAGATCCACTAAAATTTCAAAAGCATCACGCTTGCCTGTCCACTGAGAACAGCAAATTTTCTTCAGTTCTTTACCCTTTTCTTCATTGTTCTGAAAGAGGACAGAAATTACATTGTCAAGCTCTAAAAGCAGTTGCGGTGATCGATGGAGAAAAGAACAAATTTCCTTAATTGTTCCTAATGCAACAGATACTCCCATGACACCGGCTCTGCCAACTGCATATTTAAGGCACAGAAGAGTAGAGTGAAAACAGTTTGGAGATATATCTCTAAAAATCTAGAAGCAACAACCTTCATTTTGGAAGAAAATCCATTGGACACAATGTAAGCCTGGCCAAGTCAATACTCCAAGTTTAATTCCCACTTCTCAGTTATTGTAGCGTGAAATTTCAGTCAAAATTTCGGCATCAGCTGTGTAAGGCAGGAAGCCCAGAAATTCCTCCCTCAGGTTATGAGATTTGTCAACAAACCTCGCCAACATGGACCAGTGTTCTTCCCCTGCTATGTCCACTGTGTCCTTGGTGATCATAAAAAAGAGTGGGCCTAGCTTCCCTGCGGGTTTCTTCCCAAACACAGCTCTCCCAGGTCTGCTGTGTTTTTTAACAGAACGATGTATTGACGGCTGTCTCAAAGGCTTTCTCAGAACCTCTTCACCAGAATGTGTCCGGCACTCCAGTAGAGCTTGAAAGTTACCAGAAGTAAACAGACCTGCTGGGATTTCATCAGCTTCATGTCCATCTGGAGGTATGTTTTGTTTTCCCATAAGAATGAAAATTTCCAATAAAAATGTTAAGTATTCTTTGTTTCCCTCCTCATCAAAGGTTGAAGGTAAAAATGTCTTCTTCTTGTGCTTCATCCCCTTCTTCCACACTGGAATTCTGAGCATTGCTGTTAATTCTTTATGTTTTTGTTCCTGTTCTTTGTCAACAATTCTATTTTGTTTTTTTTTATCCTCACCAGAGGACATTTTTGCATTTATCTTCAGATAGAGCAGAAGGGAGGAAGGGAGGAAGAGAGAGAGAGAGAAACATCGATGTGAGAGAGACACATCGAGTGGCTGCCACCCACATGACCCCAACCAGGGCTGGGGACAAACTGCAACCGAGGTACATGCCCTTAGCGGGAACTGAACCTGGGCCTCTCTAATCTGTGGGCCAACGCTCTAACCGCTGAGCCAAACTGGCCAGGGTTGTCAACAATTCTTTTGTTCGTTTTCTATGTCTACTATATGGATTGTTCAAATGACTGATAAGATAAAATATTGTTGGTATTGCGTTATTTTGAAGAACTGTCCTATAAGGACTAGTTCTACGGATCATTGAGGTCTCAAAGTGTTTGACACATAATCAGTGTTTATTGTAGTTGATCAGGTGTTTTATATCCTAAGTCTGCTCTCCTACAATTTTCCACCTACTTCTGGCATCTGGCAGGATCCCACAGGACCCTAAAGGAAGGCCAGGTCCACTTGGTGTTCTTCCGCGCGTGCAGTTGGGGGGCACCACATAAGTTTGGCATTCGCGCCCACCCTCGGGCCAGCCCAGTGCTCCCTTCCCCATCTCCTTGGGGGAAAAATATTAAATCAAGAAAAAAGTAACTCAGTGGAATCACCAGGCACACCTTCAGTGAGCAGGCTGTCTTCAGATAGTAGAGGACAGCCAGGTATGCCAAAACATCATGCACTTTGGAAACAGACTTGATACTGAATCCCGGTCTTTTCGTTTTTTAACCACCTGTGGAACCCTGGGCAAGTGACTGAACCTCATCTGAAGAATGGAGAGAATACTTGGCAGTAATACTGGGAGCTTTAAACTAGAAGACATAGGTGAAGGGCTTCGTACAAGGACTGTGCACAGCACAGCTCAACAGCAGATGGGACTGTCTGGGTGTCTGAGGAATATTGTGGGCACAGAAAGTGCACAAAATGTCCATTAGACTATGGCCCACATGTAAAGTGAGCTCCAGTTTGCAGTTAAAAAGCTCCTAAACCTGGCTGACAACTCAGAGGCCGAAGCTATTCAAAAGTACAAAGAAGTATTTGCCAAACCCAGATTAAAGCTTGGAGAGGGATTTTAGGTAACATTTAGTCCAAATCTTATTTCAGCTGAGAAAATGGAGAGTCAGGCGCTTACTCAAATCAGAGGTATATTTTCCATTAAAGATACACATCTAAACTAATCAGTCTGAACTTACAATGTCCCTCCATTTCAAATGTATTAAACAAATCTGTCTTTACTAGTAGTTAGGCTGGATTTTAAGCTCCGGTATCACGTAACTGGACCCTACTTTGACTGAATAATGATAGGATTTGCATTTTTACCTCCTTTGAGAACCAGGTCCCCTGGAACAGGTTTCAGTCCGTACTCTTCTATTCTTTTGCTCACCATGTTATTCCACACATAGCTTTGATAGCTATGAATATACATTAAGCGGTTATTTCTAGGTATCTGGAGGGAAGGAAAAACATAGGCAAGAAAAAAAATGTTCTAAATATTAAAAGTACGGTACTTTCTAAGACATCTCACTTTAGTGGTGACCTTAGTGTAAGAAACTCATACCTTAAACCTCCAATATGCAGCAACCAACGTTAGTGCCCCTCATTCTAAAGGGTATTCACAATCGGCTGCAGCTGTGGCAGTGCCCACATGTAGCCACAGTGCAAACATTCACGCAGATAAAGCAAATGCTGCAAAATGTATGCTCTCAGTCAAAGTCAGAGACTTCAAACCCGAGGAATGTCCATGTTAATTATAGATCTAAGAGTACTTTCTCCCCCATAATTTCATGTAAGGAGAAAACCTAAATGATTGCACTAACAACTAATCTTAGAAAGAATCCTGCTTTTTGGGGTACATCCTGGGGAAGAGTAAATAAAACTGAAGTTGAAGAGTTAAACTCTAGTCTATTCTCGATTATAGCTATCCAGATACTAGTATAGTCTACAGAAGAATGGGTACCAATTTGTACCACCATGAAGAACCTAAACCAAAATGCAGTCAATTAAACCGCTGATTGCAACCCTCTTAACTGAGGCAGGTTATAGTTCTAATGCTGGAGAAAGGTCAAGAAATGAACTCAATGATGGATTCTGAGTTTCTCAAACAAGACAGTTAATTTAAATTAAATTTCCCTGTAGATAATATTTTCCACATTATTGCTTTTCGTATGCCTTCAATGTTAATTATTATACTGATACTGCTGGCATCTACTACCTGCTCCCATGTCCATTCAGGATCTGAGTAAGAACTACTCAGGTAGCCTGGCTGGTGTGGCTCACGGATTGAGCGTTGACCCATGCACCAAGAGGTTGCCGGTTTGATTCCTGGTCAGGACACGTGCCCAGGTTGTGGGCTTAACCCCCAGTGGGGGGTATGTAGGAGGCAGCCAACTGATGTTTTCTCCCATCGATAGTTCTCTCTCTCTCTCTCTTCCTCTGCCTCAGGGAAAGAAAAAAAGAAAAAGAACTACTCGGGTAATACACCTCTCAGAGATCACCAAAGGATTCTCATTTACCTTCTGCTCTTTCCAAATTTAGTAAAATATTTAAAGATGAAATTTTAAAACATTAAACCACCCTGAGTAATTGGCCTAACTTTACAAATTGCACTCACTATGCCAAATGCAGAGACTATATTCTTCATTCCATATTTTGAAAGTCCTCGAAGCAGCTGCCCTTCCACACACCTTTTGACAGGTAGTTTTCTGAGGGCAGAGGCTGGGTCTTTGGTCTTCGCCCATTCTTCCCTGCATTTAACCAAGTACCCCTTTTCGGCTGGAGGGGAGAAAACACTGTGATTATACAATTTATCCAATAGACAGATTTGCATAACTAAAAATGCTTCACAGAGAACACAAATCAGAAAATGCTGTATGTAAAAGCTTCTGCTAACCTGAGAATAACCATCAGAAAGTAAAAAGATGGGAAATCTAGAGAGTTTACAGAACTAGATGACTTTGTCAACATCCCAGGATTTAAAGCCAGTAACTATTCATTATCACAGCTGATTCAATATACCACAAAACATTGAGTTTCTTTCCTCCTCTTTTTCTACAGTATTGTCAAATATAATGGGTTACTTCCCTTAAAATTAGATAATTTTATTTTTTTTAATTCTTACTCAAAGATATTTTTCCATTTATCTTCATTCAGATAGAGTAGGAAGATAAGAGGGAGGGAGGAAGAGAGAAACATCAAAGTGAAAGTGACTGGTTGCCTCCCACACGACCCTGACCAGGGCTGGAGGTGAACCACAACCGAGGTACATGTCCTTGACCGGAATTGAACATGCGTCTCATTGGTCTGCAGGCTGACACTCTACCACTGAGCCAAACCAGCCAAAGTGATAATTTTATCTTTTTAATTTGCAAATGAATAATTATCCAAAGTGGGCATAATCATTTTGATAATATGTAATGTAGTACTTAAGTAATTTTTCATAAAGTATGACTTTAGAAATATTTTCTGAAAATTTTTAGTTAATTTTTCAAACTAAATATCTTCAACATGTTTTTGCCAAGGTTTTATATTCTATTACACTATGCTTTTAAAAATTAAGCACAAGCTGCCCGGCCAGTGTTGCTCAGTGGTTGAGCGTCGACCCAGGCACTAAGAGGTCACTGGTTCGATTTCCTGGTCAGGACACGTGCACAGGTTGTGGGCCCAATCCCCAGTGGAGGGCATGCAGGAGGCAGCCAGTCGATGTTCTCTCTCATTGATGTTTCTATCTCCCTCTCCCTTCTTCTCTCTCAAAAAAATCAGTAAAGAAAAAAAATTAACCACAAGTAAAATATGTTTGAATTCTTATGTGTTCAGAAATTTAGTAGTGTATGGAGAAAAGGAAATAAATGTATTCACTTATGAATTAACAAATTAGATGAGCTAAAGAGCTAAAAACAGCATATAAGTTATAAATCTCAAATATAGACATAAATTTTATGAAAAATAAGGAAACTATACTTTTTATTTTACTGAAAAAATTTTTTTAAATTCTGAAATAACTACCCCAATTTTCACACATACTTTTATTCATAGCAATTCCATGAATATTTAGCCATATATTCTATTTTTCCCATTACATGAATTTTATTCTCACCTCCAGAACGGGGTTTCAATATTAAATCCATGACTTCAGCCCAGGAATTTTGTAGTATAGCTCTAAAATTGAAGCATTTAATTTGGTTAATTTTGCATTAAGATGAATTTTATATGTTCAAATCTGTAGAGTCAACAAATCACATTAACTTTCCTTATTTTGTTAAACTTAAAAGTACACTGAAAAACTAATATGGTATAGATTTCAAATGTAAATGCCAAAGAACTTAAAAACCAGAGAGAAGATCCTGTTCTATCCAGATTGAGCACCACCCTTTATAGTGAAGTCCAGCTCCTCAAGCCACATAGCTGATGCTGTTTTATCAGAACAAAGGCCCAGTTTGTTCCATGAGTAACACATAATAAATTTGGGCCAGGAGATTTTTAGTTATCAAAAAACAAACAAACAAAATAACAAAAAAACAAACAAACCAAAAACAAGCAAACAAAAACAGAAAGAAGAAAAAAACAATGTTTACTCACAACATTTAATATCATTTCAGTTTTAAAATTCTACAAATTTTATTTAAAAATATAAATACTACGTAGTCATGCTTTAAGTTGCTATACATGTGTTATATGTATAAATAAAAGTTGTATCTTTAGGTACCCAAACTTATTTGAAATGTCTCAAAAAATATGTCCCCCCTTTTTCTTTTAAATCCTCAACTGAGGATATTTTTCCCACTGATTTTTATGGAAGGGAGGAAGGGAAGGGGGGGAGGAGAGGGGTAGAGAGAGAGAGAGACATTGATGTGAGAGAGACATCACTTGGTTGTCTCCTGCAATGCGCCCCAACCAGGGCCGGGGATCAAACCTGCAACACAGATTCATGCCCTTGATGGGGAATTGAACCTTTAGCTGCTCAGGTTGGTGCTCTAACCACTAAGCCACACTGGCCAGGGTGAAATTTTCTTCCTTTTTTAAAGCTGAATTTAATTCCACTTTTTATTCATTCATCTGTTAATGGACACCTGGTTATGTCTACCTTTCGGCTATTGTGAATAACTGTCTTATAAACAAGGGTTTATAAATATCTGCTGAGTTTTTGCGTTTACTACTTTTGGGTATATACTCAGAAATAAAATTGCTGAAATGATAATTCTATGTTTAATTTTTAAGGAATCCCCATATAATTTTCCACAATGGCTGTACCATTTACTTCTACCCACAAGGCACAGCAATTTCTCCACACCTTCACCAGTCACCCTAATAGGCATAAAGCAGTATTTCCTTACGGTTTTGATTTGCCTTTCCCTAATAATTAGTGATGCAGAGCATCTTTTCATGTGCTTATTAATCATTTTTACATCTTCTTTGAAAAAAGTTTTCTTCAAGTTTTTTGCCTTTTTAACCAGGTTGTTTGTGTGTTTTTTAGTTGAGTGAGATGTAGAAGTTCTTTATAAATTTTGGATATTAATCCTTTATCAGATATGATTATTTGCAATATTTTCTCCTATTCTGTGGGCTGCTTGTTCCTTCTGTTGAGTGTCCTTTGTATACAGATATTTTTATTTTATTATTTATTTTCCTCACAATAGTGATTTTATTCATTTACTTGCTTTATAAAACATTGCAGATGTCATAATTGTTAACTAACAATTTACAAAACTGTAGTTAACTGGTGCAGCTTGCTGAGCATGTTTTATAAAGGAAAAGAAATGCTAAAACCCTGTTTAAAGTTGCTCCACTGCAGCCCAGAAGAACAAAGGAGATTTGTTTCTCAGACACTTAAATCAGGCAAATAAAACAAGTAGTTTCCCTCCCCCACTCCATCAGTAGACAGTCTGCTCAGGAGATTCCACAATTTGTAATGAAATGACGGAGAGGTTTACCTTCTTCAGCTTAAAATTGGGAGGGTTGCACTGGCCAGTTTGGCTCAGCGGTTAGAGCGTAAGCCTGCGGCCCAGAGAGACCCGGGTTCGGTTCCCGCTAAGGGCACGTACCTCGGTTGCAGTTTATCCCCAGCCCTGGTAGGGTAGTGCGGGTGGCAGCCACTCGATGTGTCCCTTTCACATTGATGTTTCTTTCTCTCTCTCTCTCTCCCTCCCTCCCACTCTATCTAAACAAAAAATGAAAAAATGTCCTCAGGTGAAGATACAAAAATAAAAAATAAAATTGGGAGGGTTTTGGTCATTTAATTTTTAAGCATTAAGCTAGTACTTTTTAGTTGCTTTATCTTCACTCTGAGATAAGCAATCTTCTTCACGATGTATTTTAAATTTCCTCAAGCTCAATTTTAAGCCAAAGCAATTTTAATACTAAGTGCACACCACATGGCCTCATTGCAAACTGCTTTTCTTGGTAAGTTATGAAGATATGGAGGTATCGGTTAAGGCTGTATTACTGGTGCTGGTAAATAATACATACTTTTTTTTTGTCATGATGTAACCTTTCCAATTTCGTAACTGCTGCTATAGAATCAGATGGCAAAAATGACAACATTATTAGGTTTGCTTTTTTTTTTTAACCTCACCAGAGGACATTTTTGCATTTATCTTCAGATAGAGCGGGAGGGAGAGGGGGGAAGAGAAACATCTGATGTGAGAGAGACACATTGAGCGACTGCCACCCACACAACCCCAACCGGGGTGAGAACAAACTGCAACCGAGGTATGTGCCCTTAGCGGGAACCGAACCTGGGACTCTCTTGTCCACAAGCTGATGCACCTACCCACTGAGCAAAACCGGTCAGGGCTAGGTTTGCTTTTCAAAACTACGATTTAGTAGCAACTGAAATTCTCAATTTTAACCCCTTGGCAGCAAGATTCAAGTTCCTTCATTTGCACATTAGCACCTAAATGCCAAGGGATTAAATAGGCAGCAGCACACAAGATAATGCACTCCTGATTGTAGCATTTGGTAGAAAGGAACTTGTGCTACATGTTGTAGGGATTGTGGGCAACAGAAAGAAGACACCAGGAGAAAAGAAAATGTCACATGAAATCTTCAGTTGTGTACATATCCTCCATTAAAACCACCATAATCTTCCAGATAATCTTTCACTGTGGTCTTTAATCTCCCTCCAGGAACCACAATGTTCTTTTTTGGCTTGCTTTTCTTTTCTTGCTTCTGTTTTTCATTACAAAGCACAGTTAATAAATTGGTATACTTTCTCAAGTACTTAATTTCCAACAAAAATACACATCTTGAAGTTTTCAAAAAAACTGGCATAATATAGACTTTTCATATTGTTAATTTTTTTTTAGTAACTTTCCAAACTCTATGAAGTCATCTCTTGAAGAGAGAGATGTTCATAGCATCTATTCCATAAACTATTAGTAACAACAAAAGTTTGTTTTGCCAACTCAAGGTCTGATTCTTCCTGTAATTTCTTTAGCAGCAGTTTATCTGCTAATTTTTCTTCCCGTGTTAGGTTAGCAATTTAGGTTCTTCTAACTTCTTTTAAATTTCTTCTTACTTTTTCTTCTGTTGCTGTTCTTATCTTCTGTTCTTTTTTTTGTTTTCTGAAAATTTTAGTTCTGCTTCCTCTTGTTTCACCATCATCACCCCAGTTATCCTGACATCCTTGTCCTCGCCTTCTTAGCAGTTCCCACCAGCTGTCGCTGCCCCCCTCCCTGGGTCTTACACAGAGAAGGTATCTGTGTCCCAGAGTTCCCTGTGCTGCCATTTTGAGCCAGGCGTGAGTATGTGTCTATGCACAAATATTTTTCATTTGGATGAAGTCTGATTTTTTTTTTTTTTTTTTTTGCTTTTGGTGCTATATCATTGGCAAATCAAATGTTATGAAGTTTTCCCCTATTTTTTTTTTCTCTAAGTTTATAGTTGTAGCTCTTAAGTTTAGGTCTTGGATCCATTTTCAGTTAATTTTTGTATATGGTATAAGGTAAGGGTCCAACATTTTTTTTGTGCATGTGCATATTCAGTTTCCCCAAAATTATGTATTGAAAAGACTGTCCTTTCCCCACTGAAAGGTCTTGTCAACCTTGTTGAAAATCATCTGACCAAATGTGCAAGGGTTTATCACATCTTCTTTTATTGTAAACATCTTCACTGAGGTGTGATTCACATACCATGTAATTCACCCATTTAAGTGTACAATTCAGTGGCTTTAGTATACCCAGAATTATGCAATTCAAAGTTAGAACACCAAAAGAAACCCTATGCTCATCAGCAGTCACTCTCCATTACCCTGCCCCATACCTAGGCAACAACTAATCACTTTTCTGTCTTTATGGATTTGGCTATCCTGGATATTTCATATAAATGAATCATACAATATGCTGCCTCTTTTGTCTAGCTTCTGTCACTTACCATGTTTCCAAAGTACATCCATATTGTAGCATGTATTAGTACTTCATTTCCTTTTACTGTTGAATAATATTCCACTGTATGAATATACCACATTTTGTTTATCATTTGATGAACAATCTGGATTGGTTCCATTTTTTTTTTGGCTGCTATGAACATTAGTGTAAATTTTTGTGTGGACATGTATTCAATATTCTTGAGTATATATATCTAGGAATGCAATAGATGGGTCATATGGTAACTCTATATTTAACCTTTTGGGGAACAGCCAGACTGTTTCCCAAGATGGCTGTACCAACGGACATTTCCACCAGCAGTGCATGAAGGTTCCAATTTCCACACGTCCTTGTCAAGACTTGTTATTATCTATCTTTTTAATTTTAGCCATCGTAGTAGGTAAAAAGTGGGCTCTCATAGTGGTTTAGAATTGCTTTCCCCTAATAATCAGTGATTTCCTAATGATGTAGAACATCTTTTTGTATATTAATTGGCTATTAGTCTATGTCCTTTGGAGAAATGTCTATTCAGATCCTTTGCCTGCTTTTAGATTGGGTTAATTGTCTTTTTGTTGTTTGAGTTGTAAGAATTCTTTAAATATTTTGGCCCTGGCCAGCTTGGCTCAGCGGTTAGAGCGTCGGCCTGCAGTCCTGAGAGACCTGGGTTCGGTTCCTGCTAAGGGCGCGTACCTCGGTTGCAGTTTGTCCCTGGCCCTGGTTGGTCGTGTGGGTGGCAGCCACTCGATGTGTCCCTTTCACATCGATGTTTATCTCTCTCTCTCTCTCTCTCTCTCTCTCCCTCCCACTCTACCTGAACAAAGAATGGAAAAATGTCCTCGGGTGAGGATAAAAAAAAAAATTCTTTAAATATTTTGGATATGTCATTTTTTCATCTTTAAATTATAAACTGAGAGCTTGTTTTTACTTAGGGGGTCCTATGGTAGTAACAGTGGGCTGCTTTGAAACTAGAAAATATTCTTATGTTGTGGAAATTGTTGGTTTGAAATTCTGAAGGGATGTATGCTTAGGGTGTGCTATGCAATTTTTGTTTCTGGATAAATCTGATCTCATTTTCATTAACTATTTTACATTATCTCTGAAGTGCAGATTTACAGGGTACCATGGCTGTTCTGCCAAATTAGTTTTAATTCAGAGGTTCATGCAGCCTCACCTTAGATATTCTGTCCCACAATACAATCAGTGTCTTCACTATCTTTATCAATACTACCCTGACCATTAGCAAAATTGAAAACATTATCTTTTATTATCTAATTATTGTGATTATTAGTTACTATAAGTTTTCTTCTTTGGCAACATTTTTTTTTCTCTCATTAGTATGCTTTATTTTAAAATATTACTTTCCATTTATTGAGCACTTAGTATATTCCAGACATAGGAACAGTTGCTGCATAGACATCATCTCACTTCATTTTACCTCCCAACCCCACTGTGAGGTAAAATTTCCATTTACAGATAAAAAAACCTGAGGCGCAGGACTGAAGTCTGACCACTGCCTGTGCTTTAACCTCCACAACACTGCCTCAAAGACACAGAGGAAATACTACATGATAGACTTTTACCATTTTGTGCTTTTAAAAACACATGAAAAACGCAACTTCGTGTGGTCAGTTGGTGGATGTAAAGGAAACTCTACTCCCAGGACTAAGCTGACCAACTAGTGTGCTCCGCAGACCTCTGTAAGCCTTAATTTCATCTTCCTTACACTCAAGAGTTTGAAACACAAGGAAGAACACAAGCTAAATAATCTCTCATGTGACTTCCAATTCATTACTTCTACAATTCAAACTCCCATATGAATTATTACTTTATGTAACACAGTCTCTGCTGGACAGCAATATAGCATAAGTAGGTTTATGAACCCAAGTATTTAAGGATGGAATTCCCACCCTAGCTTACCCTTGAGGGATTTTCTATTAACTAAAAGTGAATCAGAGTTCTTAAAATAAATTTTACTTCACTAATTACATCCTACAGCACTTTTTTAAGAGTGGGAGAAAGGCAAATCCCAGTTTATTAAAGCACTTGTTAACAGAGATAAGAAACTGCATCATCTGTCAGGCTACTCTGGGTCTGAGTTACCCAACTGCTTACTGTCAGGTCACTTACTGAGCCAAGATTTACCTATAAAAAAGAAAATAAAAACAGAATCCCTGGATGGGCAATGGGAAAAAGCTTACTTTTCAGGTTATATCCTTTTGAATTCTGATTTATCATTTTACCTTGTACATGTGTTATTTCAAAACAGAACAAAAAGTAGGAAGAGACTGTGGATCAGTTGGTCATCCAAAGGATGAGAGACTGGCTCATCTGGTCCAGACATGAGGAAATCTAGAAATATTAAAAGTAACACTGCTTCTTCTTCCTTTTTTTTTTTTTCCATGAGCGCGCTCTTTTAGACGAGAGTTAAGAAATTAAATACAAACCTTCCAACTTGATATGTGGGGACAGCTGTAGTTCCAAATCTTTGCATTCCGTAGTAGTTAATAAAGCCAATCTCCTTGAGAGAGTTCATGGCTTGTTGTACTTGGTCATCAGTTCCTGTTATATTTCTGTAGGGGCCCAAATTAGCCAGAGAAAAAAATTTATAGTCCAACACACATAGGGAGGCAGTTCATAAACAATGTGGCTTGGTTCCTATGCCCACCTTGTTCACTGCAGCTTTCTCTCTGCTTCCTGAGGACTTGGATATTTCTTTTTTTAATTGTGGTAAAATATACATAACATCAAGCTGATCATTTTAGCCATTTTTAAGCATGCAATATAGTGGTATTAAGCACATTCACAATCGTGTGTAACCTTTAACAGTATCCACTTCCAGAACTTTTTCATCTTTCCAAACCCAAACTCTGCACCCATTGAACCATTAACTCTCCAACCGCCCCTCCACTCCTGCCCCAGGTAACATCTCTTCTACTTTCTGTGTCTATGATTTGCCCGTTCTAGGTATCGTACATAAGAGGAATGATGTGCTCTCTGTCTTTTAACACAGTGTTTAATGAGATGGTGTCTTTCTAAAGGTGGTGCTCAGTTTTTAGAGGGACGGGGTGTCGGTACAAATACTCCAGTAGTATTGCTCTCCCAGCCCTATGAGGCCCCATTCTTGGTCTTCCCTTGTTGCCATGATTACTAATACCAGCTCACCTGTATTAACAACTGTTCTGCAAGGACTCAAGGTGCCCCGGCAAGACTTTCTCTGGTCTGCACCCGACCCACGGTTCTTTACCTGAGAACAACAGTGAAGTGATTCCCTTGAAGCTCTCCTAATTTCAGAGGGTTTTTCTGATAGCTGAAATTCCCTAGCTTAAAGTTCATCAAGCACTTGTTCAAGTGGGCAAGTCTTTGCGCAGTTATTCTAAAAAAAATAATAGAGAAGAACAGAGAGGATCATTCAGTGTCACCCGACAGAAACAGTCTTGGTCACAATACTACAGAAAAGGGCAGCTTGAAACAAGGCCACACCAAGCCATGGCCCAGGTAAAGAAAGGTGCCGCAGCTGGCGGGTGGGCGAACTTTTCATTTCCCTCTAAATTGTTCCTTCAGCATAATGATACCTGGTCCTACTGGAATCATGTAGCTTGGGCCATGTTTATATTTTCTTTTTAACCCTTACCCGAGGATATTTTTCTATTTGTCTTCAGATAGAGTGGGAGAGAGAGAGAGAGAGAGAGAAACATCGATGTGAGAGAGACACATTGACTGGTTGTCTCCAGAGCGACCCGACCAGGGCCGGGGGACGAACCGCAACAGAGGTATGTGCCCTTGACCGGAATCAAACCCACAACTCATTGGTCCACAGGCTGACACTCTAACTGCTAAGCCAAACTGGCCAGGGCCCATTCTTTCTTCTTAAACAAATCTGTACCTTGCTGCTATCACTTAAACAGTATTTTTTTTTAAATCCTCACCTCAGGATATTTTTCCACTGATTTTTAGATAGAGTAGAAGGGAACAAAGGAGAGAGACAGAGAGAAACATTGATGGGAGAGAGACACATCGATTGGCTGCCTCCCGCATGACCCAACCAGGGCCAGGGATAGAACCTGCAACTGAGGTATGGACCTTTAACCAGGAATCGAACCTGTGACCTATTGGTCCATGGGCCGACACTCTAATCACTGATCCAAACTGCCCACGGCCATTTAAACAGTATTACAGACTTCCAGTCAAGATGGAGGTGTCAGTGAACACAGTACTTACCTCCTCCCACAACCACATCAAAGTTACCACTAAACTACAGAATGACGACCATTCAGGACACCCGCAATCTGGCTGAATGAAAGTACTACAACCAGGGAATTAAAGAAGCTACATAGAGACTGATAGGGGCCCTGGCCCGAGTGGCATCATTCTATGCACCTAAGGGTTGCCAGTTCAACTCCTGGTCAAGGCACATGCCTAGGTTGCGCACAGGAGGCAGCCAGCTGATCATTGTTTCTCTCTCTAAAACACAATTAAAAAAATATATATATGTACACACACACACACAAAACAAATGGGCTGGTCCCACATCCAGGTGTGGATAAAAATCAGGAGGGAGGCCGGCTGGTGTGGCTCAGCGGTTGAGCATCGACCCATGCACCGAGAGGTCGCTAGTTCGATTCCCAGTCAGGGCACATGCTCAAGTTGCGGGCTCAATCTTCAGTATGGAATGTGCAGGAGGTAGCTGACTGATGTTTCTCTCTCATCAATGTTTCTATCTCTCTTCTCCCTCTTTCTTCCTTTCTATCTAAAAAATCAATAAAAATATATTTTAAAAAATCAGGAGGGATATCTTGGCTGTGGAGGTTCCCTCTGAGGAGGTGAGTGTCCCAGCCCCACACTAGGCTCTCGAGCCCAGCGTTCCAGTGCCAGCAAGAGAAGTCTCCACAATTTCTGGCTGTTAAAACAAGCATGAATTACAGCTGAGTGAGACGGAGGGCTTCTGGAGTCCCAGAGCTTCCTCTTAAAGGGCCCACACATGGACTTACTCAGACTTACTCCCTCTGAGCTCCAGTGGTGGGGCAGCATCTTGAAAAACACCAGAGACATATAGGAAACATACAGGGAGAAACTGAATTGTCCAGCATCAGGGCGAGAACAAGAGCTGAAGGGGCAGCTTTCTACCAGTGAAGAGTGCTGGCAGAGGCTACTGTTCCTTTGATGAGCCTCTCACCCTATTCTTAAGCCACCAGGCAGGTGACATATTGGAGACTCCAGCAAGCTGGCTCACACTGTTTGCCCTGCCCTGGAGATTCCTTGAGGCCCCACCCTACCCAACATTCAGGCCCATTCTAGCTGTTTCCAGTGGCTTTTCCACACAAATGACCCGTCTTGACTCATGTTTCAACTTTTCCTAAAATCTCTCCAACAAGCAGCATCTGACCTCAGCGTGTCCCATACCTCTCACTAAGTGGCTTTAGTCCCAGCAATAGCAGCAGCTGGCCTTGGTTCACAGCTTAGACTCACCTGGGGCCCTCCAAGCTCAGCACAAGTAGCAGCCATTTGCAGATCACTTTGTAGATCCTGCCAGGTGGCTCTGGGCAGGATGCAGGCAACAGCTGACCTTGGCTTGCACCTCCTGAGAGGCCTCAGAGCCAGTGCACCCAGTAGACAGCTTTAGACCACGTCAAAGCATTACCACCCAACCATATCCACAAGCAACACATTCAAGAGGCTAACTCAGTGGGCACCAGAGCCCCTGCACAGCTCATCGTCCACGGTGGCCAGAGGTCACCAGTCTTTACAGCTGATTTGTCCAGGGGTAAATCCCTCCGACATGCCAACAGCAACAAAGACTTAACTATAAGAGGAGGGTGTACACAACCCACAAGAGGGGAGAGCACCTCGAATGCCCAGGTTGGGTAATTGGAGAGGCTATGCCACTGGACCCTATAGAACACCAACTACATTAAGCCACTCTACCAAGCCTGGGAAACATAGCAGCTGTACTTAAGACACAGAAACAAACACAGGGAGGCTGCCAAAATAAGGAGACAAAGAAAGATGTCCCAAATGAAAGAACAGAACAAAACTCCAGAAAAAGAACTAAACAAAATGGGGACAAGCAATCTGCTAAATGCAGAGTTCAAATCACTGGTTATAAGGATGCTCAACGAACTTAGTGAGAACCTCAACAGCATAGAAAGGGACCAATCAGGAATGAAGGATACACTAACTAAAATTAAGAATAATTTACCAGGAATCAACAGTAGAGTAGATGAAGCTGAGAATCAAATCAGTAATTTGGAATAAGGAAGCAAAAATCACCCAACCAGAATAGTAAAAAGAAAATAATCTTTTAAAAATGAGGACAGTGTAAGAAGCCTCTGGGATAACTTCAAGCATACCAACATTTGCATCATGGGGGTGCTGAAAAGAGAAGAGGGTGAGCAAGAAATTGAAAACCTATTTGAAAAAATGATGATAGAAAACTTCCCTCACTTGGCAAAGGAAATGAACATACATGTCCAGGAAGCAGAGATAATTCCAAACAAGACACATCATAATTAAAATGCAAAAGATTCACCTAGCCGGTGTGGCTCAGGGAATTGAGCGTCATCCCACAGACTGAGAGGTCCCTGTTTGAGTCCTTGTCACAGCATATGTTGTGGGCTTGATCCCCGGTAGGAGGTGTGCAGGAGGCAGCCAATCGATGTTTCTATCTCTCTCTCCCCCTGCCTCTCTCTCTAAAAACCAACACAAGTATTTTAAAAAAAAAAAAAAAAAAAAAAAAAGCAAAAGGTTCAAGACAAAGACAGAATCTTAAAAGCAGAAAGAGAAAAGAAGTTAGTTACCTACAAGGGAGCTCCCATAAGGCTGTCAGCTGATTTCTCAACAGAAATGTTGCAGGCCAGAAGGGAGTGGCAAGAAATATTCAAAGTAATAAAAAGCAAGAACTTTAAACAAGATTACTCCTGCAAAGTTATCATTTAGAATTGAAGGACATACAAAGAGCTTCCCAGACAAAAAAAGCTAAAGGAGTTCATCATCACCAAACCAATATTACAGGAAATGTTAAAGGGTCTTCTTTAAGAGGAAGAAGAAAAAAAAGACAAAAATTATTAATAGAATAGCAATAAATACATACTATCAACAATTGAATCTAAAAAATAAAATAAATGAACAAGCAAAACAGAAACAGACTTTAGATATAGTGAACACTTTGACAGTTGTCACTTGGGAGGGGGTGTGGAGATGGAAAACAAAGGTGAAGGGATTAAGAAATACAAATTGGTTGTTATAGAATAGTCATGGGGATGTAAAGTACAGCATAGGGAATAGTCAATAATATTTAATAACTGTATGGTGTTAGATGAATGCAAGACTTGTCAGGATAATTGCTTAGTAAGTTATGTAATATCTCATCATTGGGGTGTACACCTGAAACTAATATAATAATAATGTATGTTAACTGTAATTGAAAAAATTTTTTAAATGACTTAAAAAATAAGAAAATAAAAAATAAAAAAGTTGATCAAGAATAAAAAAAACACTGCAAACTTATTTTCCAGGGCATTTGAGATATTGCTCCCTGGCATATGTCCTCAGTTTGGCTCAACAAACTCTTACAAACTCTCAAAAATAAATAAATAAATGGTATTATAAAGTTTTCATGAAAAATCCCTTAACTTCTCTAGTAGTAATATATGCAGAAAATTAATACAGTACTGAAAAGCCTTCGTCCTATTTCTAATCCCCAACACCTTTCCCCACTGGCAGCCAATGCTAACATATTTTTATACTTCCAGAAACACTTTTTGTATATATATATATGTGTACTGACTATCTCCACAATTTATGGAACTTTTTGGGTAAGCTTTTAATATATATGTTATACATATAGAAAAGTACAGAAATCATTAAGTGTCCTGCTTGATGAATTTTCACAAAATGAACACAACCATGTACTTAGCACGCAGATCCTCCCTTTAAAAAAACAAATTTTGTTACATTATAAATTGTTCAACATCTAGCTTTTTTCACTTAAAAACGTGTATTTGAGCCCAGCCGGTGTGGCTCAGTGGTTGAGCATCAACCCATGAACTAAGGGGCTGCTGGTTCAATTCCTGGTCAGGGCACATGCCCAGGCTGTGGGCCAGGTCCCCAGTGCGGGGCAGGCAGGAGGTAGCAAATCGATGTTCTCTCTCATCGATGTTTCTCTCTCTCTCTCCTTCTCCCTTCCTCTCTTTCTTAAATCAACAATAATAAAAAAAGCGCAATCGCCCTGGCTGGTTTGGCTCTGCGGTTAGAGCATCGGCCTGCGGTCCAGAGAGACCCAGGTTCGGTTCCCGCTAAGGGCGTGTACCTCGGTTGCAGTTGGTCCCCGACCCTGGTTGGGTTGTGCGGGTGGCGGCCACTCTATGTGTCCCTTTC